CCACCTGCGCCGAAGGGCCTACAAGAAACTGGGTGGAGTGATAGTCCGAGCTCGTCGCCACCGTCTTCAGCTCAAGCGCATCAGTATTGAGGTAAGAATGCCCCTCGGGTATTCCAACGGGCTGCCCGGCATCCACGGCAGCCTGCTTCTTCTTTGGGGGACCCGTCGCCTTCTTCTTCTTACCTGGAGCAACCCTCAGAGGTTCCGGGTTGAGGGGCCGGGAGCTTCCCGCTTCGTCGTCGTTGCAGGGAGGTGGCACAGCGACGGTCACTCGTAGCCTCTCTTTCTCCTCCTCCTCCTCGGCTACTTGGAGGGCAAGAGCCATCTCCTCATCTTCGGCGACTTGCTCGAATTCCTCCGCCTCTAATTCCGTCCGGAGGTTGGCCTGAATCCTTTCGGCTATGGCTGCATCATCCCCAACCGACGACTGCTCGCTCGAAGAGTCTACCTCCGAAATACTCTCTAGGTGCGCCGAGGGTTCCGTCGACAGGTTTTGTGAGTCGCTCCCGGAAGACATAATAGCAGAAGATAGTCGAAGGGTTCGGGAGAGGGATGCTAGAAGCTCTAAACACGAGATCTAAGGCCACAAAGCAAAATATATGAAGAAGCTGAAGAACAGGTTTAGAACTGACCTCGGAAGTAAGGGATTCGATCAAAAGCAGGTGTTTCTCTCTCTAGAAATATTTGGGCAGAGCTTCGCTTAAGAACTATCGCACAATCCAAATGGCTTGGGGCTTGGGTATTTATAGGCGTCCCAACCACGGTTAGCCTCGAAGCATGGGCTTCCGGTTAAAAGCCCATCATTACATGCCGCCTCATCGCCCAATGGGTGGTAGCCGCCCGCCTTCAGCCAACGAGGACACGCCACGTCAACCCCTCCTCCAACGGCTATATTACAACGGATATATTTCGGCAACACTAGCATGCCCTCGGATGATAGTCTCCGGCTATCGCTTCCGCAGCCTTCAGACAACGAACTCCACCAAACGTCTTCAAGCCCGCGGCGTCACTAGCCTCCGGCTCATCAATGTCACCACCCCTCGGGAACTTATCAACACATCATGACTCCTTCAGCCCGAACTCGCCTTCGGCCTAAAGGAGTGAGGGACTGGGATACACCCCTCGGGGATCATACACAACAAAAATTTCTTCATACAACAATTTACAATTGACGCATACGGCCTCCGGGCAAACATCAAAGTACAACCCCTCGGGTACATGCTTCAACATGCCCTTCGGCAGTGGCAGAATATCACAAGTTTTCCCCGAGTCACTTAGTCACTTGCGGAGATAAAGCAGCCCTCATCACCACACATGCGGGCAATACATCTAAGTTTTCCTCAGAAAACCCTCGACATGTGAGGGACTGAGGGAAGCCTTCGGCTAACAGCAGAAGATAAGTGATCAGTCAAAGGCACCCAACGAAACGATGAAGCTTTCGGGAGAATCAACACAATTACTCCTTTTCCCTCAAGTACCTTTCGGCAAAAGGAGTGAGGGACTCCTGATGGAGTATATGGCCCAGGAACCCCCGGCCCAAAGACTCCTACTTCTCCTACACAAGTCCGTGAGCCCAGAGAACAACTCAGGCCCAAATGCAACAGCCCAAGCCTCGAAACAGTCCAGAATACACACTGGGGGTGCCTTCGGCTTCCCTGGCCGAAGGCTCCAAAACTCACAGGATGGCCTTCTCTGGCATAAGAAGCTACCAGGAGAAAGCGGCGAAAAACGTGAGCCTTCGGCATTATCAAGCCCCCGACATCAGAGAAGCCTTCGGCCACACGGAGCCTTCGGTCACAGGAGGCCTTCGGCTACACAGGGGTCCTGGTCGCATGGAGCCCTCGGCTACACCAGGAGCCTTCGGCTAAACATGCTCAATCATCGAAGATTCCTTTTGGAGACAGCCAACCACCGCATTTAATGTCACGTCACATCCGCCAACCGCAATCAATGCGATGGACGTGCCACTGCCGGTGCCAACTGGCTGATGTGACCCTTCGGCCGTTGGATTACTGACACGTGTCCTCTCATCGCATTTATTGCTGCTATAAATAGCAGCCCATTTCTCCTTGTAAATCATCATCTACATCCGACTTCCACACGCTGAGTTCATTTAATAAAATCGACTCTCTCTCCTCCTATTTACTCTGACTTCTCTCTAAGTTATTCCCGCAATAACCCCTCGGATAAGATACCCCCCGGGTAGACTATCCATCATCACCTTTATATTATTTGATGAATTGCATATTAGGACAAAAGCTACAACACACGTATCACAAAAGAACATTGTGAAGTAAAATCATTAATAACTTCTTTATAATCAATCTTTTCCAAGATCACATGTGCAATGTTTAAAATTGCTAATTCATTAGGTTTTTTGAGGCATAATAGATAATTGGGATGATGCTTGAGAATTGGGAGGCACCGACAGCCCAAAGACAATAATATAAATTGATAATTTTGTAATTAAAAGGAAAAAAACTTAAATGTTAAAAAGATGTGAAGAGACGTGTTTTTATTGATTTAACAACAAATGTGTTGACTTACAACCAACTCTATTTAAAAATCAAAACTAAATTTATATTCTTTTTAAAAATATGTCTAGCTTTGTTCAAGACATTTTACTTATGTTTTAAAATTCTCAAATTGTCAACAAAAATTACACATTAGGTCTAATTAATTAATTGATATTATAAATAAAAAAAAAGTCTACTCATATTACATATAAAGAAAAAATATGGGCCTAATTTTCTTTATACTTTTTTCAGGCCTAGGGCGGTCGCCCCTGCTGCCCTCCCCTAGGACCGGCCATGAGAACCTCCTATCTTTATTTTTCCAATTTGTCAAGGAAAGTATTTCTTTTGAAATATATACAAGTGAAGTGTCTAAGTAAAATAATATGCGTTATATTTTCAAAGATAGTGAATATAATCATATATATAACTACACGTAATTGTTTGTGTCTATAAACAATGTCACGCATCTTGTTGTTTATATAGACAGATAATTCGTACAAGCAGACAAACAATTACATATAATGTGTGAGTAAATGTGTAAATTTTTTATGTACAAGAATGATTGACCACTTAATTATTGTGATCATGCTTTTGTGGTAGTGGATGTTTTTACTTTGATTGGAATTTTCTGATCTAATATGATCTGGCAAACGACGTCTGATCTCTATGTACTCCCTCCGTAACTCTAAAATCTTCCCATTTGAAAAGTAGGTAGATTAAGAATAGTGAAAGAGAATATGAATTATTGAGGGTATGATAGGAAGATAATGGAATAAGGTGATGGAATGTAAGATAAATCCAAAAAAAGTAGTTGTAATAGTGTATTAATTTCAGAATTATTGAGGGTATGATGGGAAGATTTAGAACTAGGGATGGCAACGGGGCGGGTTTGGGGCGGGGGTTGGCTCCCCCATCCCCGCCCCATGTCTAAAAAGTTTCCCCCATCCCCACCCCATCCCCCGCTACTCCCAGACCCGCCCCATCCCCGCCCCACCCCGGTGTCCCCCACGGGTGCCCACGGGTGCCCCCATATAGATTTTATTTACTCCCTTCGTCCTATCTAAAGGTTCCCACGCGGTTTACGGTGTTTCCCATAAATTTCATTGATCCCTGTCATTAGTAGAATTATTTTTCACATATTCAGAAACTACATTAAAAGTTCTATAATACCTGATAAAAAAATTAAATTTGATAAAAGTTATATATATAAAGTAAAGATTAAGAACAATGCACGTTGACCGGAGAATGTGAGCGGGAACTTTTAAATGGGATGGAGGGAGTATCTTATTTGCATATTTTTTAACCCATTTTAATGACAAATATAAATATATATAGCACTGAAAGAAGTAAGCTAGATAATATCGTGACATCATGTTTGATAAAAGTTAATTCCTTCAATTTTTAATAATTCTTTAATTTGAATAAGAAAAGTAAAAATATAAGTTAATATATTATCAATCATGTATGTCGTTACAAATTTCTCATCAATTAGAATACAATTAGTTATATAGAGAGTATATTACACTTAAATATGCATATGTGTTCTATTTACTCATTTTCTCACTTTTAACACTCATATAACATTTATGATAAGTATTTTTATTTATTACATATTATTATGATGATATAATATTTATTAATTCATTAGTCATGAATACACAGTTACACACATATACATTTATATATGTCTATATGTATATGCATGTGTTTGTTATATACCACGTACTACATACTCTATAATTTACTTAAATAAGGTTATACATTATTTATATGTGTATGTATGTTTGTATATATATGTATGTTTGAGTTTATATATATAACGGGTACGGGGCGGGGGCGGGGGCGGGTGTAGCAATCCCCGCCCCCGCCCCATATTTTAACGGGGTATAAATATCCCACCCATCCCCGTCCCCACCCCGCCCCAAACCCCACCCCATCCTCACCCCATGGGGTGGTTCCCCACGGGCCCCCCGCCCCCATTGCCATCCTTATTTAGAACTGAGAAGATTTTTTTGTTACGGACGAAAAAAGAAAGTGAGAAGATTTTAAAGTTACGGAGGGAGTATTTTATAACTATTCTAGTTTGATCTAATCTGACTGATATGATTTGATCTAAGAGCATCTTCAATGCTAAAACGTTAACGTTGCATACGTGGCATGAGAAATAACCAATCAAAAAACAATAAATAGAATATCTCTCCTTATTTGAAGGATTGTACATTATTTTGGTAAGTTTTTCTTCACAGTGTCAAACACAATGTCTAGATGTATACATTTTGGTTGACATTACAGACAAAAACTTACCAAACACACATAAGACCGTGGAAAGAAAGAGAGAGAAATGTCATAAAATCAATATTTTGTGTCTATATCCTTGATCAACATCGTGCATATTGTAGCATTGAAGATGCTCTAATCTAATCTGATTTGATGTGGGAGGACTAAAACAACGATAACTAAAATCATCTCATAATCTCGTGAAACCAAATGCTAAGTGTTTTTGTCGCCGTATTAGGGGCTGTTTGGATGGACACGCAAGAAATTTACTCCGTACTCCGTAACTTCACACTGCACAACAATCAATGGTGTGTGTCACGGACGAATCATAGCGGAAACGATGTACGACGGTACGGATGCACTCCATAGCACCGCCGTACTACACCAAGAAGAGCATCAGTACTCTCCGATCGCAGACGATGAGGAAGGAAACGTCGGCAGCGGCCCCGGTGGATACGGCGGTGATGATGCCGTGGATGCCGACGTTTCACCTCACATCCAATTCGACCCGCATTCTCATTCCCAGGTTCTTCACAACGGCTCCATCGTCTCTGTTGCGCCCATGAATGGCATGGATGGAAATGGAATTTCATCTCACGCCCTCTATGTCCCCGGAGGATTGGAAAACATTGCTGCTCCTACTGGCGGAGTTGCGGCTAACCAGCTTACCCTAACTTTTCAGGGCGAAGTCTATGTGTTCGATGCTGTTTCACCTGAAAAGGTATGAACTTTATCAAGTTTACATATATCTCTACTAGTCTTTCATGCATTTGATTATTGTGCTCATGGGTGTGCTTTGGCTGTAAGAGCTTGAAGCTTCTGTTAAGATTGAATAAATGATTCACATTTTTCTTATGAATGCTTATAGTGAACAAACTTTGGAAATGCCTTTCATGATTTATAATGTATTGGAGTTGCTTAACCTTGGAATTTGTTTGAATGTGGATATTGTGGAATCAAATATATGAAATTAGCTAAATTTGTTTGTATCCAGAGGCTTGAATCTCTTTTCCACTGATAAAAATTTCAGGTTCAGGCAGTTCTGTTGTTGTTGGGTGGATATGAAGTGCCATCCAGCATTCCCAGTGTTGGCGTGGCAACCCAGAGACAAAGGGTACACTCCGGCAAGACTTTAATCGAGTATAGAAATAGAGGATTAGTTTCTCTTTTTTTAGCAGTGGAGGTTATTTCATCATTGGTGATGCCGTTTTTGTAGGGCATGGGTGAATATCCTGGAAGATTGAGTCAACATCAAAGGGCTGTTTCTTTGAACCGATTCAGGGAGAAGAGGAAAGAGCGATGTTTTGATAAAAAGATTCGATATACTGTGCGTAAGGAAGTTGCACTGAGGTTAGCTAGTCATATAATATTTTTTCTTTCTTGTCCTCTTGCTTGCCTCAAGCCTTTTGATAAGGTGAGGCAAATGGATACAATATATCATCATATTGCCCGTTTGGTTGGCATGTTTCTGTATACTAAGCCTCAACAACAAGTTTTCTACCACACACAGGTGAAAAGTAGTGCAGCAGTTAAGAATGTCACTTCAACATTCATTTTTAGATACTCTTTTCTCTAATTTGTTTTGAAAGAATAAATAGATAAGTTGGCAGATTGAGCTATTTCAGCTGCAATTGTAATATATCTAGCCACTTTCAGTCTTACCAAAGAGTCTTAAAATATTCAGCACACAATTTTTCTTGTATATTCTCAAAGTATTGGTATATTTGTATCTTATTCCATTGGTGCTGCCTTGTCGATTAACACACACATACACATTGTAAATTTGTCTTCAAAAACCCACATGCACACACATTAGGACAAGGGTTAGGATTGGGCGGAAACCAGAAGGACTTTGTGTTACTACAGCACCTACAAAGGCATAGGTTTGCAGGTTGCCAAGAATTTAATAATTTATTAGTTTGACGTTTTTTCTGTTATGGCTCTTGAATTTGATTTAATAGAAAAGTTTACTCTATATCAGTTGATTAAATATGTGAATAATACTCCCTCCGTCCCAATATAAAAGGCACACTTTCCTTTTCGGTCCGTCCCAATATAAAAGGCACATTTCCCTTTTTGGCAAACAAAACAGTGCAAAACAGTGCCAAACAGTGTCCAAACAGTGCCAAACAGTGTCTAAACAGTGTCAAACAGTGTTCAAACAGTGTTGACATAGTGTTCTGTGGCAGGATGCAACGTAAGAAGGGTCAATTTACATCTTCTAAGTCGATATCTGATGAAGCAGGTTCATCTTCTGCAGATTGCAATTCAAATTCTGGACAAGAAGATCAAGAAACATAGTGAGTTCTAGCATTCTTTACCTTCTGGAACGTTTTCAAGCTTTCTTCATTATTGAAGTTCAATTGATCTGATTTTAAAGCTGAGGTTTTATGCTAATGACACTTGATCATGTTACCTTTTTTTCTTTTATGTACAACAGTTGTAGTCATTGTGGTATTAGCTCCAAATCTACACCTATGATGCGCCGTGGCCCAGCTGGCCCGAGGTCACTTTGCAATGCGTGTGGACTTAAGTGGGCCAACAAGGTCTAACATTTGTTCGAAAAAATTATATTCATCATAACACTTTTGCTGTATGAAGTACTTAATTGCATTACTTTTTCAACAAGCTTTGGTTAAACAAACTATGCGTCATTTTCTTCATATACTTAAGCATTATTTGCATTCATAAGAGGCATATTTTAGCTTAAAGTGTTCACTCTATGTATCACTTATAGATGTCTGAACACTACCATTCACCTCTATATGTAGGTTTTTTTCTGCTTAATTATTTTGCTAAAAGCTTCAAAATGTTGCAAGTTTTATCAAATTCTTAAGACCTTCCTAAACCACCAAAAACAATCATGGAAAAATTACCTCTCTTCTCCTAGTGGTAGAGGTAAAGTCTGTGTGCATCTTACCCTCCCTAGTCCCTACACACTTCCTAGTGGGACATACCGGGTATGTCTAGTCTGGAAGCATAATTTTGGAATCCCTTTTTGATTGATAATTTTCTTCCTTTGCTTTTCTGTGACGCTTGTTTTGCACTTCATAGTTCATTTGTTTGGATGATTTCCGATTCTTTGTCATCTAGTTTTTGAATAAAATTCTATGGTGTTTTCTCAGCCCAAGCCTTTCTGTTTTTCTTCAATACCGAACGTATTAGGTGACTATCTTTTGTTCTGTAGGGGATTTTGAAAGACCCGCCTAAAGTTCCACCTACAGGAGTTCAAAACCTCATTGTCATCAAGACTGATGAACAGGTTTGTATGCCTTCAGCATTAACATAATGCATTTCCCATTTGCTTGATGTTATTTGGTTGTGGTATGGCTAAATCAGATATTTCTTTTAAAAAGAAAAAAACATTTGGCAAAACTGGTTTCGGACAAATAAGTGTATCTGATTATTCTTAACAAGCCAATTAGTGCTACCAACCAACGGGGCCTTGCTGTCTCTACGGTCAAATGTTGGTCCACTTCTGTTACTACATGAATTCTTGTTACTACCTTCTTACTACCCCTCATATATTCCTTGTTCCAGAACAACAATGGTGAAGTGAACAGTGCCAGTGTTACTGCCATTATGTCTAAGCATACCCAGCCACCAACTGCTGAAAGGTGACGAAGCTATCGGTTGCCACTGACATGTTTACAACTCGTATACATATAGTGTTAAGAGTTCGAAATAATGTAATGACAGCAAACTGAAAATTGTGGCATTAGGCAAATTCAGTGTACATAAAAATATCTTCTCTGCATTCGAAGTGAGACTTGCGCCACAAGAGAAGAGATACTCTCAAAGTAGTCTCACCCTAGTTAGATGTGCTAATGCAGACAACGAGTAGTTTTCTAGTTTCTCCATCACCTTTGTTTTCCAAATTACCCGTTTGACTTGTCTGAAGCGTTGATTAAACAAAAACAAAGCTTTTACTATAACAGAGTATGTACTTTATTATAATTTTTTATTTCTAGTTTTAGCAAAGCCGGGTTTACATTCACACAGAAGTACTTTGTACCAAAATAGCTCTTAATGATTGATGTAGTTTGTGTTTGAAAATTGAAATATGAATTAACTTTGCAATCACATTATTTTAACATTATAAACTTAGACAAAAACATTATAAACTTGATTTTAGTACGTAGTGTGTTCAATACTCAGACATGTAAATATGTAATTGCTTAAAGTATCTCTAGATCTAATAGAAATTTCATCACTATTCGTGTTTTACAACCTACCTGATATTGGAAGAGGAAGTAAATTGATATTTCCATTTTTCAATTTCAGATAAATACAAAAAAGGTACATGTGTAATAGGGTAAATGTCTATAGTTTATTATTATTATTATTATTATTATTATTATTATTATTATTATTATTATTATTATTATTATTATGATCATCATCATCATCATCATCATCATCATCATCATCATCATCATCATCATCATCATCATCATCATCATCATCATCATCATCATCATCATCATCATCATCATCATCATCATCATCATCATCATCATCATCATCATCATCATCATCATCATCATCATCATCATCATCATCATCATCATCATCATCATCATCATCATCATCATCATCATCATCATCATCATCATCATCATCATCATCATCATCATCATCATCATCATCATCATCATCATCATCATCATCATCATCATCATCATCATCATCATCATCATCATCATCATCATCATCATCATCATCATCATCATCATCATCATCATCATCATCATCATCATCATCATCATCATCATCATCATCATCATCATCATCATCATCATCATCATCATCATCATCATCATCATCATCATCATCATCATCATCATCATCATCATCATCATCATCATCATCATCATCATCATCATCATCATCATCATCATCATCATCATCATCATCATCATCATCATCATCATCATCATCATCATCATCATCATCATCATCATCATCATCATCATCATCATCATCATCATCATCATCATCATCATCATCATCATCATCATCATCATCATCATCATCATCATCATCATCATCATCATCATCATCATCATCATCATCATCATCATCATCATCATCATCATCATCATCATCATCATCATCATCATCATCATCATCATCATCATCATCATCATCATCATCATCATCATCATCATCATCATCATCATCATCATCATCATCATCATCATCATCATCATCATCATCATCATCATCATCATCATCATCATCATCATCATCATCATCATCATCATCATCATCATCATCATCATCATCATCATCATCATCATCATCATCATCATCATCATCATCATCATCATCATCATCATCATCATCATCATCATCATCATCATCATCATCATCATCATCATCATCATCATCATCATCATTATTATTATTATTATTTAAATTTGGTCGTTTAATCTGATTTGTTTAAGTTTGTTCCATACAGTTAAGGTAACTAGGGGTGAGCAAATAACCGACAAAACCGATAAAATCGAAAACTGATACCCGAACCGACCGAAAAAGTCGGTTATCCGTCCGTCACCAGTTATTACATATTAAAAGAAGTCGGTTATTCGGTTATTTGGTCGTTAATGGTCGGTTATTTTAATCGGTTATCGGTCGGTTAACCGAAAACCGAAGTATAGTCTAGTCTGTATAAGCATTTGCAGGTACTTCATGTATGCTATGATGTTTCACTTAATAACATATCATAATTACTCTAAGAAATAATGTCAAATATATGACCAAATTGAATATTGTGGATACAAATATGTCTTTTCATACTTTAATGTAATGACTATAATTGTTATTTTTAATGTGCATGATTGTGTTCAATTTTATATTATACGGAGTAGTAATCATGAATGGTATACTCATGTTAACTTTAGTCATATTTAAGTTTATTTTAGTATGTAGTATGATAGTAATACTTAAGGAAATCCCTCATATTTTAATAAATTTCATGTATTTAGTATTTAGTGGTTGACCCAAAAGACATAAAACGACATTCATGCACAAGAAAAGCTACCAGCAACGTAAGAAACTAATTTTATTATGAGATAATTTAATTCATTTCTTCTTATTCATTTCATGAATGGAGAAAAAGCGTTTTACATATGATCATCTATTTCATTCATTTTGTTTTGTAGTGTAAAAATCAATTATTTTCATCCATTCTTGTATCAAATGTTTTTTCTAATATGTTTATTTAATTCATTCAATTTTTTGAAAAAAATATGCTTAAAAAAATTTATATGGTCGGTTATTGTCAATTATTCGGTTACCGACCAAAACCGAACTACATTTTTCGATCAGTTATAGTGCTGTTATCGGTCGGTTTTCGGTTGATTATTAGAGTGAATAAACTTGGTCGGTTATTTTGTTATCGGTCGGTTATTTGACCGACTGACCGAATGCTCACCCCTAAAGGTAACATATGAGTAACTAGACTACTAAACAACTCTTCCCATTATCCCATATCGGTATAAATATTGAATTACATACTCGAGGTGTCCAATAGTCCAACCAACACTTTGGTCACTTTCTAGTTTCTGTCCTTATGAGTCATGTCATTCGTTAAGAACATCCTCAAATTTGTCCTATTTATTTAACTATGATGCATGAGTGCATGGCATACTTAAATTTTAAGTAGTTAGAGTGAAACAAGGAACTGAAGGCATATATATATATATATATATACACAAATGATCCTGTCCAGACGTCCGGACAGGAACCGCCGTCCGGCCGGCGGCGTTTGGCCGCCTTCCCGGTGGAATTTTTTGATGAAATTTTTATGGCATGTTCTACATCAAGTCTAGTTTATCCACAAAAAAATTCAGCCAAAAACTCAATCGGGAAGGTCGTCAAATGATTTTTGCAAGTTAACTGGTCCGGAATATGTATTTTCCGGACCAGTTAACTTGCAAAAATCATTTGACGACCTTCCCGATTGAGTTTTTGGCTGAATTTTTTTGTGGATAAACTAGACTTGATGGAGAACATGCCATAAAAATTTCATCAAAAAATTCCACCGGGAAGGCGGCCAAACGCCGCCGGCCGGACGGCGGTTCCTGTCCGGACGTCTGGACAGGATCAGGACTCTATATATATATATATATATATATATATATATATATATATATATATATATATATATATATATATATATATATATATTTTGGTTCAAATGAGAACGAGGCTTAACGTGAATACGTGAGAACACATCCTGGCCATCCAAAATATATGCTAACATACGATCAACTAAAGGGTATAAAGGGTATATATTGTGGCGGTTTGTGTAACCGATTTTTTGATTAATACGTTGAGTGCTTTATTAGTGGAAGCATTAAATGGAATTATATTAGTAATCATTCCTAGGTTATTTAATTTGGTAAGTATTTGACCGGTCATCATTATTTAAGCTTAGTTCACCTACGTATTTAGTTTTGGTTGGCAGTTGACTTTTTGATGTTATTATATTGAATATAATCAGTTATTTTGGAATCTTTTGATACATTATAATTGTTGTTATCTTTCAATTCATACATATTCATTTCATTTGCATTATATATTCATTCTTGTGCATCACATTATAATATATTTGCACATGTTTCATGTGTATTACATTGATTCTAATGTGTTATATACGAATTATTTGCACAATACTTTTTCATGTGCATTTGTGCGTATGATATTGGCTCTTGTGCTTAAGATACTTTTTTTAATTTTACTTATACGTATTACATGGTAGATAATGGTTCTTGTGCATTAGATTTTAGTGGTTGTGTGCCTGATGTATATTCGTGTGCATGCGGTAGCTGAAGTTGTTTGTTGTGGTCATTTATATACATATATTATACTTATTTTTTCAAAACAAAATTATATATGACATATTGATGTCATATGAAAGATATTTAAAAAAAATATTTAATTTGATAAATTTATTCATGTGCTAACATATGCTGATACTGATTCTTGTGTGTTATATATTAGTTTAAGTTGTGTGAAATTCTTATTGTGTGTAGTAGTTTTTAATTGTTGTGATAGACACTGCTCTTTGTGCATTAGATATTGGATGTTGTGCTTAAGATACTTGTTTTAGTTTTTCTTACACGAATTGTGTACTAGATACTTGTTCTTGTGTGTTATATATTAGTAGTTGTGTGTCAGATACATATTCTTGTGTATGCGTAGTCAAAGATGTTTGTTGTGGTTTATTGTATACATATTATACTTATATTTTTTAAAACAAAATTATATATGACATATTGGTGTCATTTGAAAGATAATAAAAAACTCTTTAATTCGATATAATTTTTGTTAAAATCAGATTATAATTAAAAAAGTTAAATCAATTTTTAAACTAAAATATTTTATATGATTTGACCTTTTATCTTTTCCTAATTTTTTGGTAAGTGATAAAGTTCCAACCGATGCCACATTAAACGATTGCTTAAAATTACTCTAGTGTCCTTCATTAGCCTACGTATGGATTAGATAGTGCAAGAGTATTTATTTCATGTTTGCACTCCCATGATAAATCCATGCATCTCATCCTTTTATGACCTTTAATTTACTATGATGTATGGCTAAGATTTGTTCTCGCGTTCTCACAATAAGGAGTGTTCTCATTAGAACCACTCCATATATATATATATATATATATATATATATATATATATATATATATATATATATATATATATATATATATATATATATATATATATATATATATATATTAATTTTGTGATCAGATAACTATTAGGTTTGACTCATAAATGTGGTATAAGTTGTTATATCAAAGTTTAAACTGACTGGAAAGTGACCTTGGCGAGTGGTCGGGTCACGGGTCATCTTGGGCCTGGTAAGTCAACTGGATCAACGTTTGAAAATCTGGCCAACATAAAATTCCAATTTCCAAGCCCTCTAATCAAAATTCCTTCACCTCAAACCTTTCTCAACTGACCCTCAAGTGTTCCTCAGTCGTGGAAAAGAATACTACCTCCGTCCCAAAAAGAGTTGCAATTTGACTTTTCTTAGTCAAAAAGTCTTGTTTTGTTCACTTAATTAGGATGCCAATTTTTAATTATATTCTAATTTGGAGTTTACAACTTTGAAGAGATTTTAATGTAGTTTTTGAATATGTAAATTTTAATTATTAAAAATTGAATTAATCATCCATACGGATGGTTGACTTTTATTATTGGTTGACCAAAAATTATTGACTTTGTAAAACAAATTGGGAAGGAGGGAGTATAATAGAAGAAGATGAACTAGGAATGCATGTTGATGGTCTATCTTAAATAAAATGAGTTATGGTATGTGACGAGGTGGAGAGAATTTACTCTCTTCATTTTGGGGTGATAAATTTCGACTTTAATGAAGGAAAATGAATAGTTTGGTAAGCTCTAAAATTATCTTGAAGGTCTTGCATTACTTTGTTTATAAGAGAATCAAAAAGAGTTTCCAAAAAGAAAAATGAACTGATGACCTCTCACTGGAGCATTTTGCTTAAATTCCATTTCTTTACTAATGAACCAATTATATTTCTTGTTAATTTAGTGGCTACATAAGTATATAACCTTATAATAAGCAAGAAATTAACTTAGCATTAAACTCCAAAATTCTCATACCGATCCCGGTTTCAGATAGATTGGTTTTCAGGGTGTTACAGATGCTCTGTGATTGGTCGTTGAAACGATGCCCGAGTCTATAAATATTGGCTTTGGATCACTTGCTCCAGGTTTCTGAACTTTCGCTTCCTCTCTCTAGCTTACTCTCGCCTCTCTCTAGCTTCTCTACTAACCCTAGTTCGATCTTCGGCCTCGGGTAGTTTTTCCTCTTGTTGTATGATTCACTCTCTATTTGGTTCTATGTCCGAGAGTTCGTCTTCAAGTGCGAGTAGTTCGGCAGTTATCGAACAACAGTCTGAGGAAACGGTTCGCTGGGACGTTGCAGATCGATGTTGTCGTCCAAGATGCGGTTGGCGCGTCTAGTTCTAGTGCTTGGAACGGTCCTGATGAGGATGCCAAGTCTGGTGATGACATGGTCGTTGCTAAGGCGGGTCCCCCGGACGGGACTCCCCGCCATTTGGGATACAGAGTTATTTGTCAAAACCCAAACAAGTTGAGATGACCGAGTGTAATACTTCCTCCATTTCATTTTACATGTTTTATTTTTCTTTTTGGATTACCTCAAAATAAGTGTTACATTCTCTTTTTGGCAAGAAATATGTGGTCTATAATAATTTATTTTATATTCCCTAATTTCAATCATAACATTTATTTTTTCAATCACTTTATTAATAATTGTGTCAACCCAAAATAGACCGGACACATAAAATGAGATGGAGGTAGTATGTCTCATACTCTTTAATAGTAATAACTGTTAACTGACATAAAAAAGTCGACAACCTCGGAAAATTTCTCAGCTAGTTACGGGGTTATTGAGCTAGACCGGTATAAAGAATATATTTTTAAAATAAAGTAAGTAGTAACATAAGTTCTCTACACTAATGTATAATCACTTTAAAAAAAATTGGGTGGACCGGATCTAATATATATGACCCCTTCCCCACGCCACACTGTGTATAAAAGCACGCGTGCATGTATAGGGGTTTTTCAAGTCGAAGCCTATCAACTCACTATTGCTGGTGCCTCGCTAAAAATGGCTCGTGGAAGTTCCGGTGGCGGTGGGAGATCAGGTGACTAAGATGTTTGATTTGTTACTTTTGTATTTATAAACGATTCCTAAAGTCTTCATTGCTCTTTTTCTATACTATGTTCCAAAATTAATTAATACTCCGTATTTCTTTCTCACCGTCTCAAGAATATTTGAATTGGGGTCCAAAACTTTTAATTTTTCACTTTTGATGGTAAATTATAGATCTCTTTTACTTATAATCCTTACGGTTACTTTTACAACACCCAATTAATTCCTGCAAAAGTGGCCTGAACGTTTGAAGGGTTACGCAAAATCTACAATCACTTCATCAAAAGTGAAGAAAATAATGAAAAGTCAAATAAGCAAGTAAGAAGAGTTGTGCTAGGTGTACACATTTTTGTGTACATCTTGTACATTCACATGTCTCACACACAAATAATTGTTTGTCCCCAAACAATTCTTTGTGCGAGAGACAAAAAAGAATGTAAAAAATGTGTAATATCCGATAGAAAAAAGGAGCATTCTTCATAGTTTTGTGACTATTGATTATGTCAGGAGGATCTCGAGGAAGTTATTCATCAGGAGGATACTCTCACTCGGGGAAGACGCCAACACGTGCTGCTGCAGCCCCCGCGGGTATTTGTCATTTATCCATTTAGGGTCTGTTTGCTTTTAAGAAAAAAACACTTATTTTACCAAACACTATCAACTTTTACTTTCTCGGCTTCCGTGTAGAATCTACTTTTTACTTTTTCTATTACACAAAAAACACTTATTTTACCAACAAATTTGCTCTTTGTACCCACCCAATGTACCCACCCTATACACACTACAAATACCCCCAAAAAATTACCCCCCTCTTTTCCCCTCACCTCACCCGCGTATCTCACCCCACCGACCCACCTTTCTCGCTCACTCCCCCCTTTCTTGAAAATCAAAACTCCCGCACACAGTGTCTTCTTCTTCAACGCCTAAGCAACCATCAACGACAAAAAAACTGGAGTTTCCTTCCTCTTCCATGGATTTTCTCTTGGACAAAACCATGGTGACAAACGACGACGAATTTTGGTCTATGTGGATTGACGGAGCTGAAGAAACCGGAGGTGATGTAAGGGAAAAATCTGCCGGACTTGGAGAAAAAGAAGGACAGATGGCCGGTGATGGAGAAGGTGACAGAATGACGGACGTAGGCGGAGAAGGCTCCGGACAGAAGGCTGGACTTGGAGAAGGTGATGGACACACCGGAGGTGGAGAAGGTGACGTTACGACGGACGTAGGCGGAGAAGATGGACTAACGTCGGCGGCGGCCATGGACGTCGTTTCTGACCTCGGTATGACTTCATCTTCTTCTCTCATGGTTTTAGCAGTTCATTGAACGTTAAAATACATTTCTTCTCACAGACATGGTGTTAGAGGTGGAAATTGTTTATTTGTTCTATTGTTTGTGTATGTAAATAGTGGTGGACAAGTTTGTTTGTGTAGTGTTGTGGGTGTCTGTTGAAGTTTTTGAATTGTCTGTGTGTGCATATATGACTGTTTGTGTGTACCCCTAAGTTTGTTTCAACTCATGCATACGTTTCTTCAAACATGTAACTTTATGCAGCTCTAACTTCTTAATATTTGTTTTTGTTTGTGTATGTAGAACGTCGTAGACTTGTTTGTTTGTGTGGTATTCAACATGTCTGTGAAAATTATGAATTGTCTGTGTGTGACAGTAAGTTGGTTTGAGTGCATGAATAAATAGTGGTGGACAAGATTGTTTGTGTTGTGTTGTGGGTGTCTGGTGAAGTTTTGAGTTGTCTGTGTGTGTATTTTTTACTGTCTATGTGTACCCCTAAGTTTGTTTGAACTCATGCATACGTTTCTTCAAACATATAACTTTATGCAGCTGTAAGTTCTTAATATTTGTTTTTGTTTGTGTATGTAGAACGCCTTACACTTGTTTGTTTGTGTGGTATTCAACGTGTTTGTGAAACTTGTGAATTGTCTGTGTGTGCACCTATCACTGTCTGTGTGTGATAGTAGGTTGGTTTCAACGCATGAATAAATGAATTATGTTACATAACAGATGGAGAAGGGGTGGCAATGGAGATTGAAGTTGGTAAAGACCCAGAGCTTGGTATGGAGTTTGAAAGCAGAGAAGCGGTCTATGATTTCTACAAAGCATATGGGAAGCGTTTGGGTTTTCCTATAAGAACTAGGAGCACAACAAAAGACAAAAAAGGAGTAAAGATTGTTTCAATTGTACTAGAGTGTTTGCGGGCTGGTCAGAGAGGTAGTCAGTCAAAAAATCAATTGAAGCCCCAACCTTCAATGCAAATAGGGTGTGGGGCTAGACTACGAGCACACGTAAATTCTGAGGGACTTTGGGAAATATCAAAATTGTTTGTACAACATTCACATCCTATGAGTCCAACAAAGGCTAGACTATTCCGTTGCCATAGGAAGTTGACTCATGGAATGGCGAGGAAACTTGCAATAAATGAAGTTGCGGGAATACGACTTAATAAAAGCTTCACCACGGCCGTTGTTGAAGCCGGTGGATATGATCAACTTCCATTCATTGAAAAAGATTGTAGGAACTATATAGATAAAGTGAGACAACTTAGGTTAGGTAGTGGCGATGCAATTGCCATTCAAGGGTTCTTTGCTAAAATGCAAGACCAATGTCCCGGATTTTTCTTTGCACTTGACTTAGATGACGAGTCAAGATTGCGTAATGTATTTTGGGCCGACAATAGGTCTAGATATGCGTACAAAGAATTTGGAGATGTCATAACATTTGACACGACCTATCTTACGAATAGGTATGACATGCCTTTTGCACCATTTGTCGGGGTAAACCATCACGGGAAATCATTGCTAATGGGATGTGGCTTAGTCTCTAATGAAGATACACAAACCTTTGTGTGGTTGTTTAAAGCATGGCTTGAATGCATGAATGGAATCGCTCCAATGGGGATTATTACCGACCAAGACCGTGCCATGCAAAACGCCATTGCAATTGTCTTCCCAAATTCGAAACACCGATGGTGTTTATGGCACATAATGAAAAAGGTACCCGAAAAACTCGGAGGGAATGCACAAAAAGATGAAATATTGGATGTTATACATGACTGCATTTATGATTCACAGTACACCCAAGAGTTTGAGGAAAAATGGCTTGATATGGTTCAAAGGTATGAATTTGTAAGCTTTGTGTTTTGTTCTGGCAGTAACTATTTCTCTGCCTCATAGACAGGTCTGTCTGTCACAGACAATATAGTTTGTACTTCACGGACACAATGTGTTTGTGGGCAGAGAATTACTTCTTTGTCATTTATTTAGAAACTGATTACTTGTTTGTGCACTTAAATTGTAATTAGGTTTTCACTAGAAGAGCATGATTGGCTTGGGGTGATGTACAATGAAAGAAACCGGTGGGTACCATGTTATTTAAAGCCAACATTTTGGGCCGGCATGTCCACAACTCAAAGAAGTGAGAGCATCAACGCTTTTTTCGATAAGTTTGTCAATTCAAAAACCACTCTAAAACAATTTGTTGAACAATACGGATGTGCTTTGCGTGATAAGGTGGAAAAAGAATTTCAAGCGGATACTAACTCATTTACCAAAATGATTCCATGTGTGACTAGATATCCAATGGAAAAACAAGTGCAACAAATTTATACCCTTTCTAAGTTTGCGGAGTTTCAAAGGGAATTACTTGAAGGAAAGCTTTATTGTGATATCCTTTTATGTGAAGACGGTAGAAAATACACAGTGCAGGAGCATATGGATATTAATGGATTTAAGAAGAATGTGAACTTCTATATTGACTTTGACCCAATTACTTGTTTTGGAATATGTAGTTGTCATTTGTTTGAGTTTAGAGGAATGATATGTAGACACTTGCTTGTGGTATTTAATCGGCTTGATATACACCACTTGCCCGAGGTGTACCTAATGAGTAGATGGAGGAAAGACATGAAAAGAGCGTACCAACGAGTCAAAATCAATTACGACGGATGGATTACAACGGTTGAACAACAACGCTTTGACAAGTTATGCAAGACATTTGAGTCTGTTGCCAACATGATTGTGGATGATGAGGCGAAATACAATGAAGTCCTCCTTTGGTTGGAAACCCAGTTGACCACATATACTCCTCTAGTTAGCCATTCTTGTATTGTTGGCAACATGACGCCACTTGAAGACCCAAAAACAAATATTCATGCCGAGGTCCCACTTCCACCTATTGGAGATCCAAAATGTACGAAGCGCAAGGGAGCTCCAAGGAAAAACAGAGCAAAGGGTCCACTAGAAAAGGGTAAGAAAGGAAGGCCGAAGAAGGATAATGCACGACCCACAACCACAACTCAACATGGTAATGGTGAAGGGCCTGGTCATGGTGCAGCTAATGGGCCAATCATGTATTCTACTGGTTTAGATTTAAATCTATCTTTGATGTGAATACATGTACTATGATGTACTGTTTTTTTGTTGTATCATCAATGAAACCGTTTATAGTCACAGACATTATTATGTCCTCACAGTCAGATCGGTGCTCTGCCACAAACAAGTATATTTATTCATAGACACAATTATTTGGAGGGGCAGAAAATATTCATGTGATAATTCAGATTATATCCATTATTTAATTAACGCACATATTCATGTAAACAAGAAAATATTTAATTAACGCTCATATTCATGTGATAGTTGAGATTATATCCATTGTTTAAGATATTTTATAGTTAAAATTATCATTATTATACCATGTAGTTGAGATTATATCCAGTATTTAAGATATTTTTAAAGTATACAAAATTATTCTTGGATGAAAAAAAAGTGATATGAACATTATTTTTTATGAACTATAAGCTTTACTTCAACAACTTTATACATTTTGCTTGTTAATACTTAATATACTCACAGACAAACAAATTTCCACTAGCAGACAATATATTATATAGTCACAGACACATGTTATTACAAACAAAGAACATTATAATACATAACATTTCAAAGTGTTAAAAATAACACAAAAACCAACTTAGAAATTTGGTTACATGCTTCATATGAACCCTCTTGGGGAATAACCTTGTAGGACATTGTACAACGTTCATTACAGCACAACCGCCAAAACAATGTACATGATCATACATTATATTCCAGAAGGTTACAAAAACACAAAACCAGCAAAATAATGTTTCTTACATGGGAACCATGACAGTTATGTATACACATTAGCAAAAAAATAGACATCCACATATGTCTACGAAACAGTCTGCCTCAAACTCCAAAGCCGTAGTGCGAAATGCCATCTCTTGCTGGCCACGTTCGCATACTCGCAATATGGCCTCATCGGTAGCCCCAACATCAATGCTTCCGCATAAGCAACAACCATGAGTCCGCAAATACTTCTACAACACAGACATAACAAACAATTATTCTGTGCTCACAGACATAATTGTACACTGCACATAAACAAATACAAGATTAACAGATTACAATTACCCTCCCTCTTGTTGCGGAACATCTGCAACTGCCTTAGCTTTCCAAACCTCTACCTTACTCAGATCTGGGTGGGCTTGTATGACTCGGAAGAGGAGCGGAAGTCTGACACACAGATCGGCCGCATGCAACCTTGACCTACTCGTTCTCATAGAGTCATATAAACGCACCAATTTTGCATGTAGGTCAATTTCCGCTAAAACCCAATGCATCCCAACAACATTCAAAGGTACAAAAACCTTAACACAACAACAACAACAAAATACTTGAGCACTTTTTAACCAAGAACATTCAGAGGTACGAAAACGTTAACCCAATTAAAAGAGTCCAAACCAAAATACACAAACAATTACATAAAAGAGTTTAAGCAGTTACCTTCTCCAAACCTCTCCAGTCCACAGCTGGTAGATACTTATCGCGAGTCCAGACGTTCTCATCGTTAGCATCCTTACTCAACAGTTGATGCTGCACGAAGAAAATTTATAATGACCCAAAAATTGGAAATACTTATGTAAGTTTGGTAAAGATACAGTGATAAAGACATACCGTAAAGTAAGGGTTTATTAGCTTATACGGCTTCTCCGTCTTACAATCTTTTACAAGCAGGTACGATAGAGCATCCATATGCTAAGAAAAAACAGCGTGAGACAATTATTGAATCATGTAAAAATTGAAAAAGTTTAGGCACTCACATAGGACCATAGTGTCTCATCTGGTTGAACAAGCTCACGGAAAAACTCCCTATCCACTTCATCAAATGATGGTAGATTCAGAACAACCATTTTCGGTTCTACATTGTCAGGTTCTTCAATCCACGCCTTCAGAGATGCAATATCATCGTCGCTTGGGTGAAACATAGGAGGTTCAATTGGGATAATCAGGTCAAGGTATGGTGAGCATTTGTAGTTTGCACGACACCGTTTCCTCTTATGTCGATGTTTCGTGCTGACATCTTCAAGTGGCTCAACATCAAGCGGTGTACTACCAACATCGCCTCCATCCCAATCCAAATTCTCAAATGGACCGGGCGCGGTTACCGAAGGTAACTGCTCATCCTCCACCTGCTGAGAGTCCTGTTACACACCATGGAATTAAAATGCATTTTAAACAATCTTACTATACAGACCATAACATAAAATGCATTGCACCAACATTGCTTTATTACACATATATCTTGGAAGTTGCATTATAAACACCAATATGTGTTTACCTCGTTTAAACACATCATAATATCCGGGAAGTTGCTGCCATGCTTATTGTGCTCATTTTCCCAATCCACCTATCAAGTAAATAAGTAGATCAATTTTCATGGTGCACAAAAACAACAATGACACATCAACAACCATACCTCAGTCACCACAGTTGACACTAGTAAAAAAAATGGCTTATAGTGACATTAAATTAGTGTCACTAAACGATTTAGTGACACACTGAATGTGTCACAGAAAAGCGGGGCAAGTGACACAAAATTTAGTGTCACCGTTAACAAATCACTTTTGTGTCACAAAATTATGACATATAAACATCATTGGGAACTGTGATATATACGTAACAAGGATTTTTGTGATACCAATGCATCATGTTTTTTAGTGATATATACATAACAAGAATTTTTGTGATACCATTGCATCATATTTTTTTAGTGATACACTAGTATCATATGTGTATATATATATACTACATATATATCATACTAAAATGTTTTATTATCAATAAATAATCAAAACATCCATTACTATCAATAAATAATAAAAACATCAAACAACTATTTTCATTAAATTTTAATCATCATTCCTTACAATTGTAAATGTACATAATTCACAATGGTATACCCTAGAATTAAAGAAGTAAAAGAGGAGAATAAACGGCGGCAAGAATAATTAAAAGAAGGTGTTAGCCTAATACACAAATACTACAAGGCGGATAAAAAGACCAAAAGATCAAGAACGTTGCATTCATCTCCTTAACTCTAATTTTTGTTCCCCCGACCTGCATATATGAAAACTAGAGTGAGCAATGGCTTTAGCTATTACTATGTATGTATTTGTATTATATAGACTAGTAAATCTAAATAGCTATAAGAAACATGAGCGAGCATAGTATGAGCAAACCTGGCACAATGTGAGTTGAATATCACCAGTTCCAGGAGGCATGTCAATAACAAGGTAGTCCAGTTCTCCCCTGCATAAATGAAATGAGTCCTCTTTACAATGATGCAAGTAAAAACTCAACAAGCTCTGAATAGCAAGCAAGTAAATTGAGTTAGAGATACTAATAATGAACAATACTGCAAATAAAAAACTTAAATAGACCTAACCATACGAGAATAGACCGGATTTAAACAAGGCTACTCGTAAGGATTACAAGGCAGAAAAAGTATTGGGACTCTATCTCCCAATAAAACTAGGCTACTGCTAATGAATATAACTCCTGTTATGACTAAGCTACTGCCAAAGAAACCTGTAGCAAGACTAACACTAATTAAATATATTAATTAGTAATAATAACATATAATTACGTAGAATATACGAGCATTTAGTCCTCTTCTGCCTCTTGCTCCGATGCTGGTCCGGCTCAGGTTCATCTTCATCATAGATTCATTATTAAAGACATCTCAAAATATGTGATGCACCTTGCAATTTGTATTGGAGAAGACTACGGGCACAATCTGTAATGTACCTTGTAGTTCTTCTAATGGAGGTTAACTAATTTGATTTCAATATCCAAAGTATGAAGAGTATCCTCAAAATAACCATAGAACAAGAAATTGGTAGTAATGTAAAAATTACTTTTAGTCTCAAGTGTTGCAAATGATTATAAAGAAAGTTGGACACTAACCATTGACATTTAACAGAAATACTATACACACAAACAGAAAAATAAACTAAACTATAAATCATTTCTAAGTTTTTTACCCTGCTGTTACTTCATCCTCATAGGTGTTACTTCTTTATGTTGGTCCCGATTATATGGTAATCAGTCTAGAGGGGGGGGGGGGGGTGAATAGACTGATTAGTTTTTCATAATTTTTCTCTAAGTCTAAACTGACTTATCAGAGAAGGTCTGATTCTGGTGACAGAGGAAGGCTGGTTCTGATATCAGAACTGGCCTTGGCAGCGGATTCTGATCTGTCCGGGTAGCGTCAGAAACACTAAGGCAAATGCCTTTCTGATAACTCTGAAAACAAGATCTGCTGAACACAGATTCCAAGTCTTAGAGTTAATCAGTTAATGTCCTAAGTACAGAAATATAAATTGCAGTAAAGTAAGTGACACCGGATATTTTTATAGTGGTTCAAGGAACAACTCGCTCCTCTAGTCCACTGTTCCACTAGCTTTGAAGTAGATCGGTTACAAAGCTAATCCCTAGCACTTAAGAAGCACTCCTCGTCTTCTTCAAGTCTAGATGCCACCCAGGATGCAATTCCACGTCCTGATGGCTGATCCTTTCACTCAGCTTCCCGGAAGTATCACCACTTCACTACTGCAGTTACTTGGACGCCCTTCTTTTCAGAAGATCCTTTGAAAAACACAAAGTCTTTCCTCCAACTTGCTTCGTCACAAATGATGTTTGATGAAGTTCTTGAAGAGTTGAAGAACAGGATGAACTTCGCTCGTTGTTGGGGATGAAAGATTTGGAGTTTGAATCTTCCCAACGTAGGACTTTTCTTGTAGGGTTATGAAGTTTGAATCTCAAGAAGTATGTTCAGAGTAATGAATGGAGCAAAAGTTCTGTGAAGAGAGTTATTTTCCTGTTCTTCGGTGAGTAGCTTATATACTGAGGTTGTCTGCCCGTTGGAGGAGGAGACAACTGCATTAAATGCGAGTACTGTTGACTTGACCGCCGTTTTGGAAGGTTTCTATTTTTATAATATATCTTCCCGGATTCCTTGGTCAATCATTTGCAATCAATCCTTCAGCGTATCAGGCTCATTTAATGTGCATTAAATGCTTTCCATTCATGCACAGTCTTCTAGCCGTTGGATGTTTTTACCCGTTGGATTCATATCTGTTGGATGTTGCTTGAAATCTTCTAAGTGTTAGTCGGGCTCTGATCAGGCTCTTCTGATGTGTTGGATTCTGATGGCTTTCTGATGAGTTGAGTTCTGATGGCTTCCTGATCTCTGACTGAACTCTAACTCTAAGTCTGATAGGTCCGCTGATGAGTACCTCTGATCTGTAACTCTC